GGGGATCAAACTCTAGGTTAAGCGTCTTCTTCGTCCCTCCAGGCCCTTGGAACTTAACCGAGACCCGATCAACTAATTCGTCGTAGTAGAAGATGGAGAAATCAGGATTAACTGCTGGGGTGCGACCGCATTCCTTGTTGTAAAAGGATATAAGATCCCCATATGTGTGTAGAGGGGACGAGATTGTATAGGCATTCGCTTCGCTGGACAACAGTTTGATTTTGAACTTCGCTTCGAACCTTTTACGGGTAGCGCCGCATACGATACTGTATTGAAGGTTTATAGATTTTCCTTCCCCGGTAAAAAGTGCATCCACTCGAAGATACTTAGGGTCCAACTCATATCCGAGAAAGTGGCCCTCGGGAGATCCGGCGAACACTGATGGCATCGAAATCATCAGGACCAAGATCACCAACTTGCAGTCCGATCTACACATGGATGGAAACGATGAGATGAAAAGTTACTAAACATGTAGCGTTTCCTTGATCAAGCCAATAACCACTGGTAAACAACCCAATACTGGCATCGGCGCTAGCTGATGAGTTAGTCATCCGAAGATGTTTTCAACTCCCTATCGAAGTTCAATCACTTCCTGATGCTACCGAAAGTAAGGATCCTCAGAAGTCTCCCTCATTCTGGAGCCCTTCTGCTCTACCGACATCGATCAACTCGCGTACCTCACGTAAAAAGCTAGGAATGAACAGGATTCCGCACAACCTTGGGCGGCGTAAATCCGCCGCAAACTGTACACGGATAGATCACCTATGATCAACTCTGGCTCCAGTGATCCTCTAACTATTTACACTCAACCAAGGGAACCTTGATAGAGTTAGTCGACTAGGTGGTGTGGAGAGGACCGAAGACTTGCAGGGCTCCCCCCTGAAGTTTCGGTCACGGGACAGGTGCCCGACTAGGTGGTGTCGTATCAACGACTCACGTCTCCCACGGGTCTGTCCCGTCACCCAATCCACTAAGAAAAGAAAAGAAAAAAAACTGTCAGTTACTAATAACTTTCCTTCGGAATCCTCGGATTATTGAAGCACCTGCGAGCGACCCACCTCGCCCGCCCATCGAATCACTTCCTCTGGAGTTGACCCTAGCCTCTGGCGAGACTTTCCAGGAAATCAAGTCAAGACAGGCACGATCACCGTTGGAGGCGACTGTCTAGGTCGTCTTAGTGGTACCTCCACACGCGACAGTGTCTGCAGGAATTGACAAGTACTGAATAGCAATGGCTGCCAACGATTGGCGCATCATCTGAGAATTCAACGCATTATCCGACATGAGACTCAGAGGAATGCCAAATTAAGACACCCAACGATCCCAAAACAGCTTCCACGTAACTTCAGTAGCGGTGGATGGAGCACCGACAACGACACAGTACCCGGTGGACGCGTCGGTGATGACCAAGAAACATGTGAGCTGAGGATCATCGGGAGCCAGCTATCTTTCTGAGTGATTCTCTTACTTGAGAAGCCATGATCAATCGTCAAGTGTTTCACCCGTTGACCTCCATCGGTCAGACCTCGCGGATCTTTAGGAGCCGTGAGCATAGCTAACCGATCCCCAGCCTTAGTATACATGCACCGATCACACTTGTCCACCTAGAGTCTGCACGCCTTCGTCAATCGAGGAAAACAGGCAGAGCGCACAATCTGACCCTTCATCGACCAAGGAGCTTGGTGCGAGGCTAGCTCATGGAAACTATAGATGGGCATCGTTATGGGTTTTGGACGATTCACGCTACGGTGTGCGTCACGTGAGTAGTTTACGGTTACGGAAAAAGCTTACGACTTTGCGGTTGGTGCTGAACTGCCGTTTTGCAATTGTGGCGTAAACGTTCGCTGTAAGACACCTCATCGTAGCTCGAATAGTCGTTGAATTTATTTCTGGTGGCCCGGATCCAACCAAACCGAGGAGCGTGTAACATTTGGTTCCGCATTGACCATTCGTTTCCCTTTCAAATACAATCCGTCTTACCCCCAGGCTGACCCGAAACTGCTCAGCCGGTCTCGTCCACGCACGCGCATTCATATGCAATAGATTTTGACGACTTGAATGGCGAATCCTCGTCTTGTCCGTAAGACTGCTTACGGCGCCGTAGCTTTACGGCTCGGGGCTTGAAGCGTAACCGCAAGTGAGCAGTCGTAACGGTCCGTAACGTAATTCTACCCATCTAGACTCACAAGGCCGTGGGTGGCGAAATGAAGACAAGCTTCTGTTGTACATCGACCCTCCAGACTCGCAATTGGCTTGCAATAGGTTCCTTCGGAATTAACTGATTCCGATCAATCGTCCGTGCCTCAGGCAACTACTTGACAATGCAACAAAAGGGCATTAACCGAATGGAGGGAGACTTCACCGACGGACACGGCGACAGTTATGACTAAAACCGAGTAGTAGCAGCAGCAGTAGAAGTGGCATCAATAATAACATCACAGTGACTTGGAAGTTACCAAGCATCAGCCCACGAGTCTTCAGGAGGAGTAACGGCTAAGGACAAGAACGATACGGTAACCAGTATGAATACTTAACTGTTATTACTTCGAGCCGCTTGCGGTCTAACAGCAGGTTTCTGGTGCATCGCTGCAGCGCGAGTGTTTACCCTGAAAACAGTGTAGTATAGATCCTCAGTGCGAGAGAGTAAGGCTCTTTCCAGGGCTTACACTGGGGCCGGAGGCGCTACACCAGGCCTGCCGAGAAAGCCCGCACTCCTGTGCTCATATCGTTGGAAGTCTCCACGACCAGTAGGTTGACGGACATCTCTACTAGCGAATCCACCGCCACTACGTCCTCCACCTCTACCCTTGCCACCTACACCAGCACTGCCAATGAAAGATACCAACAGTGAATATACCTCTGCCGAAGCGGCCAGGAGCACTAGTGGTCTCTTGTACTAGACTTGTGAACCATTGTGGGATTTCTTGCTTGTTCTCTTCAAGTAAAGTCTGTAAAATATGGAATACCACACACAAACGAAGCCCACATATACACTCACCCATAGATCCCGAAGATGGGCTTGCTACCCTCATTAACGAAAGCTATAGCTGTTCCTAAGTTACC